CACTTTATTTAAAAGGTTTTGGTGTAAACGTCGAACAGATGCGCAATTTATAAATGTATCAATGAAGAGAGTGAAAACAAGGAAAATGATGACACACTTTTTTCGACGACATTCAATAAATACTTATTCAGTAACGATAAAATGTACATAATATTTTGACTAAAGAAAAGTTCTTTCTATATAAAGAAAGTGGTTTCAGAGCCAAATACAGGGTGTCCTAAAAATTTATACACGTTTTAAGTAATTGTAACCTTGGTGTTTATTATAACTTTATCATTTCAAAAACGTAAAAATATTTAAAAGTATCATTTCTTTGTTTTTTTTCACTGCATTTTGACTATTGCAGCAGCGACTGAATTGAGAGAAGCCACTGAACTTGAATGCACCCAAATACCAAGGGAATTGTTTCATGGTATGTGCGATTCTATTGCTTCGCGTTGTCAGCAGTGGCATGATCAAAATGGACGTCAGTTTGATCAGTGAAAAAAAACAACAAAATGATACTTGTAAATAGTTTTACATTTCTGAAATAATAAAAATATGTTAAATACCAATTGTACAAATAGGTAAAATTTGTATACATTTTTGGGACACCCTGTATATTTTATTGGCCTGGCCGACGGAGCTAAATAAACCCTAAACAGGAGAACATTACGGACGAAGACCAGAGAGACTGGAATGGCCATTTCTGGCTTACTAGCCGTCGTCAGCCAGCCACTCCCAACACCAGGTGTTGTGCCATCCGAGGCTAGAACCCGTGACCTAGAAGTCTAACGCTCTGATCACTGACGCAACACCTGGGGCTGGATATGGCTGGCTGAAGACGGCTAATAAGACAGAAATGGCGATTCCAGTCTCCCTGATCTTTGTTCGTAATGTTTTCCTGTCTTCCCTACCAGCCGTTGTACAGTTGCTGGCGAAACGCTAGAGTGAGCCCCGAGGGATAACGGCAGAAGTGAGTCCCTTGACTGATCGGTGAGTGTTTATGCAACAGTGTAAATTCTAGACAATTATTACAGCCTTTTACCTCAGCAAAAAGAGAGAGGGGGCAGGGCAGGAGAGGCACTTACGATGAGCATTCAGTTGCATCAGCAATTTGGAGATTGTGTCCTGCTGCTGTTTATAGGCGCCCATGTCAGCATGCAGGAACGTAGTGGCTTTTAGGCGATTACGGGGCAGGACATCAAGGAGGGCCTTGTAGACTTCAAGGTCGTCTGCGACCTCATAGTCCTTCATCTGTTCAAGTGCGGCCAGGATGAACTCGTTGTAGCCACGACGCGCCTTGCCGGAACGTTCAATAAACAGGTTGACCACATCCTGCAGGGAGCAAGAGGGGAGAGATGGTGCGTGTACGGATGGGGGGGGCAGGGCAGATAAAGCAGGATTCGCATGAAGGAGGAGAGTGTTTGAAACACTTACCAGAAAGGCTGCCTTTTTGATCTTTTTAATCTGTGATTTCTTCAGAGTCAATCCACCCTGATCCGGGGGTGGAATCTTGTTCAACTTATTCTTTACAAACTCCTCCTTTGCCTCTGTCCAGCTAGACAAAAGAAGACATAATGAGCAGTACAATTCCAGCTGGGATAGTTTGAAGGAATATTATTTTCAGCTTTTACTTCCTTTGGTAAAAGAATAGGTGAGGTTGTCTCTAGCGGTCTTTTTTGGTCCCTATGTATTATAGCTACCTACTTAAATTTTTAAGTAGGTTGAATTACCTGTAC